CACTACTAAGTCCTATAGTTATAGTTAGCCCTCAAAAGCCCCAAGATAATTTTATCTGTTTCAATTTCGTGGAGCTTTCATCAACCGTGGCAGTTGTTATCTAGAGCGTCAGAAATAGCAAGCTATTATCACCTTGTCATACGATCTAAGAGAGCTTGAGAACCCACAGTCGGGGGATGTGAGATTATGGGTAACTCCATGGGAGCCCATTTAGCCAGATTCAAGGGGGCACGTCGATGGTCCAAGAATTCATGTTTAGCAAGATCTTCGTCTCGTGAATGGCGAGGGGGTGGAGGGGTACAGGCAATTCGGTTAAAAAATTGAATGCTTTTCAATTTATTAAAAAAAAATTAACATTGAATTTCTATTTCACCGGCTACAGCTTAAACAGCTTGATGAATTTTGACATTTGAGATATCCTTAGATTTGTCTTAATAGCACAACTGATTCATTCTTTTCCGATACTGCAGTCGGATTGTTTGTGTTTTTAAAAAATGTACAAGGCTCTTCCTTTAAGGCACAGAGCTCCCGGAGGGGAGGAGGCGACACATTTCCACAATTCAGATCTAATAACGTGATGTTATATACTTTAAAAAATACAGCGTTGTTTAAAAAAAGAGCACCCTATTAGGTATACTTAACTCCTATAGCCCCGGGAAAGCCGTAGCGTCGAGTCCCCTATATCAATGATATGCAGTGATGGGCGCATTGTATACACCATATACCCGTATACAATGGTGAATATATACGTCTCGATATTCACGTATACAATGTATAAAATGTATATAATGTATACAATAGCAAATCACAGTTCAACTACTTTCATATAGTGGTGGCGTTTCGCTTTCCCTTTTATATTTCCATGTGTACGAGGAAGAGAGAGAGAGGGGGACAAGCGAGCGCCACTTGTGTAGAAAGAGTGCACTAACACACCACGTTGCCTGGCACAACAGTGACTTGCTGCAACGCCTTGTTTTCTACGCTCAAATACACATTTCTGTCGAATCTGTTTGGGATCAATTCCAGATTGATCCCAATGGTTCTCCGATTTTAGGTGGAACTGAAAGTTCAGGAGAGATATAAATTCTGCAACATTGCATTATTGGTTTGACTCTGGCAACAGTTTATAAATAATGAAGAAATATATAATATTTATTTGTTCTTGGAGCGTCCAACAATATCTTTTTTAAGTTGTCAGTTCACTATTTACACACTTTCCGACGTTTGCGAATAAACCTAACCTACGTTATGCTATTCTATACATTGTCTTCATCATTGTGTACATTGTATTCATTGTATAAGCAATGTATACCTACATTGTATTCATTGTATACGCATTGTATACATCGAGACGTAGACAATTAATGTATACGCGTAAACGCTCATCACTGATGATATGGCTGATCCGTCGATTGATGAGTCCCTGGGTATAAGGTAGTAATCAAAATTTATAAGATACCAAGTCCCGAGTCCAGACAAAACCTGTAAGGCCAAATCAATGCACTACGAGTATAGCTAATTATTTACTGCTGCCTGACCTATATTTTTCATGGTTGTCTGCACTACTTTGGCTTGCTACGAGTACTTTTGTCGGTGAATGTGTAATTTGCTTGTTTGCATGGTGGTGGCCTGGCCTCTGACGAAACGCGACAAGTCGTAGGGCCGCCGGCGCGAGTTCTAGGCGCCAACGCCACCCGGCGAGTAGCATTAGCCTAATTGCTTGTTTTAGTGCCTTTTGACAACATGGCAAAAAGGCAGTGCCATTCGGAGAAGAACAGTTACATCAAAGATAAGGTCCTCATCTCACATGCTGACAAAAAAAGAATGGGAATTTTGACGCCTACGTCACTGTGAACTCACATTATAGGTATCTGTTCCACTACTGTAGTTTGATACTCGAAATTTTTCCGCGGCAGTCGATTCTTCAAAACACTATCAATGGCAGTGTAAATTTGCTAGTGCAATGATCGCAGAAACGAGCCGTGGCGCTAGCAGGTCTTGTATAAAATTCTGTTCATAATGTGAAAATATAATTAATACAAGTAACATATAAATCCGAACACCCAGTTTAAATGGTGGACATCTATGGACAGAAACCTTTTCAAGGTATTTATACGCAGTGACATTAGAAGTGTTAAACCCAGAAAAAACTCTTCAACTTCATCACATCAAGAAGTAAACGATAATATTCTGACTGAATATTATTGACAAGTAATAAGGAAAAGAATAATACCGTATTGGCGACCCCGTAGCTGATTACACTCCTGTATATGGCATCGACAAAATGAGATGATGTCTGGTTGCGGCAGCTGATTCCAAGAAAGTAGAACTTCGTGGATTAGCTGTGGCAGAGTCTATGGCGGATGGTGCAAAGTGGATAGTCTCCTCCCCATCATACCCCACACATGTTCGATGGGATTTAAATCCGGTGAATGGGGTTGCCAAGGCAAAACATTGACGTCTGCTTCTTGAAGAAAGCCCGTGGTACGACGAGCAATCTTGATAGGTGCGCTGTCTTGCTGAAAAGGGACTTGTGGACGGTCCTCTAGATACGGCAGTAAAGTTGTTTTTAGGACATCATCAACATAAGTGCAGCAGTCATATTGCCTTGGACCGTTACTCCAACTACAGTCCTGTGTACATGTATCTCACCAGCAAATATCACGCCGTTCTCTTCTCTACGACCATTGCGCGTACCTAGGCAGAATTGCGATTCGTCGCTGAAGATGACATTATACCATTCTGCCTCCCAACATTGCCGCTCTCTGCTCCAGTTTAAACGTTGACGACAGTGGTCCACTGTCAGAGGAAGTACTAACCGTGGACGGTATGAAACAAGTCCAAAGACTCGAATGAGGCAAGCGTGTACGCTTAGTAACAGGTCTACTTTCTTCTCCAAACCATTGGTCAGCGATCTGATGCGTAGTAACAAAACGGTCTTGTAAGGCTAGATGTCTGAAGTGCCTATTTTGACGCTCTGTGGTACACCTGGGTGGACCAGTTGGCCTTCTTCATGTTCCTCTACCTTCTTATATCCACACCCGACACACTCATTACCGTCAATGCAGTACAATTAACACGGTGGCCAATTTCGCCATAGGACAAACCAACATCTCAATACGCAATAATTCTACCCTTGTCAAAGTCGCTAACATGGTGATAATTTGGAGGCCTTCGAACTCGAGGCATTTTATTATGCTAGTAACTATTAAATGAAAGAGCACTAACTAAAAATATCTGTATTAGTCGGCTCTCAGAAACTGATTTCTTCACAGAAACTAAGAGATAACATTTTAACAAAGGTAAACAAAAAAAAAAAGATAAAATGTCGACATTGTTGTCACAGCATGCTTCAAATATAGTCATTGTTTCCAAAAAAAACAACAAGTTGAAGAAATTATTTTTTCTGGGTGTAACACTTCTGATGTCACAGAGTATATAATCAAGGATAAAGTGAATTCCCTAGGATAAAGCTTGCCAGTTATTTTTTACACTTGCTTATTGTATAATAGGAAAAGCTCGCCTTACATTACCCATTATCAAGTGTACATATCTAGTTGACCACATTCGTTCAAAAAATTCATCCGTAGCTCGAGCCCGAAAACTTCGTCGCATACACAGCAACACAGCAGAAAAACAAACGGAGAGAAGCTTAATTGTATTTTCAACCGCTGTTGTCAACTTATCAAATCTTCTAAAATCTGTTTTACTCTTCCCGATATCAATGTTTACCATCACTGTTTTAAAGAGTTCTTAAGCCCTGTTCATAGAACTGTCCCTGATCATGTCCAATATCCCATCACACAAATTTCGTTCATTCTGCTACGCTATATAGACGGAATTCACACGGCCGGATCTCAGACACAGTAACCGACAAGTTACCGACCACTGCACCAACAAGCTTTATATATTTTGATGAATTTCGCCTCGTGTTTCGTTCCCTTTTTTGAACATTCTTTCTGATGTACCACGCTTTTCCCTTTCTTTATCTGGTAAACTTTATTGGAATCCCAGAATCCTATCATTTTTATTATTTGGACCGAAAAATTCCTTCTGTGAATCACATATGGTCAGTGATCAGTACCTATTTATTGTGATCCATCAATATTTATCATGCAGTGTGATATTTATTCACCGTGGAACCAGGATATCAGTACCTAATTACTTCTGCATATCAGGTTACAAAATCTGCTGACACTGACGGATCTGGGGGCGGATGTACATATTAGTAAATGCTGATGCGAACCATACTAGATACTGATATGATTGTGTGACACTAGCCTTAGGCTAAGAAACAAAAACGATATTACGATAGCACACGACAGTTAGTTGAATTTGGGCTAGTTTGATGATGTCTAAGTTGGAGTGATTGGATTTTGTTGCACCGGAAAACGATCAGCGCTTGCTCTCGTCCGGAAATATCGGAATCAAAACATAGCGAGGCACCATTTCCCACACTAATCACAATCCATGGCTCGTCACCCTTCGTTCATTATATCAACCAGTACATCAGAGTAGCTAGAAAAATGTTTACCGACCCGAAAGATTTGGTGTCCTCGACCTATACCTACATCGATCCATAACTCAAGTTCAAACAACCGCGCGCAACTCATTCCATTTTTAAGTTGGCAACGTAGTTGGCAGCGTCGAATCCCCTAGACCCAGCTGATCGCCTACGGAACTTTGGCATCTGCAATTCTGCATTATACGAAGGTCAGGTTTTGCTGTTTACTGTTTGAAAGAAAATGTACTTATTACATTATCTAAAGACTTTCTTAATGAGAACAAAGTGAATTAGTAGTGCCAATTACAAACGCCGTCTCGAAAATTTGTAAAAACAGCGTCCCGCTTAGGTAAGTTCTTTATAACCTATATCCTAGTACATCAATTTTATCCCTTTTTTCCCAACGGAAAATGAATGGAAAGCATTTTAATACGCTGTGGATTGTTTCTGGAAATGAGGCACTATCTTTAAAATTAAACCTGTGTTAATTTTACAGGTGCCAGTGTTGTTAGAAATGAACAATTGTATTCAGGAAATGCAATCAATGCAAAAATGTAATGATGAATATGTGACTCATTTCAGTACTCTTTTATTTAATTTTTATATCTCTAATCTCTAAAGAAACATATTATTTTTTCGTTTGTATTCTGATAAATTGTTAAACCTGAAGAAAAACAAGGATAGAGTTAAGTCAGGTCAAACAATTAGCACGTTTTGCAAATAAGCTGAGAGCTCGTGATTTTGTTAAAGTTTTGTTTAAGTAGTGGTTTGGTGAGAAGGCTGGACAATACAAGTAGTTGCGTCTATAAATCATGCTTAAACAATTACATTTAGTACCTAAACTGAAAAGCGACCATGAAAGCTATGAGGTAAGTTATCAACAATGATAATCATTTGCAGTCCATTAACACTATAAAATGCTACCGGTGTGAAGTTGGCAGACAAAATTTAGCGGACAATTTGCCGAAGATACCCGAATGACCAGTGGCGTCGACATCCTCGACCAGACTGTGATTGTGAAGGATACAGCTAACAGCTCGCAACAATAAATATATATATATATATATATATATGCACGAGAATAAGCACCCCTATAGGAAGAATCATTTTCCACCCTAATTAAATAATTGGTAGGAACAAGAGTTAACCCACAACCTTTCTTCGAGTTTTCACTTACCGATTACTGTATTGAAAGTAATTAATGAGCTAAATAGCATATACTGAGAAAATCTCTAAAGGGGTGCTAGATGAAAAAATATAAATAAAACTTCATTTTCACCCCCAAAAAAATGATTCCACAAAATGATTTATATCTCAAAAAAATACTCTATAACAGAGACAATTCATGAGCTAGGTGGCATGGTGTGAGAAAGCTTCTGAAAGGCTGGCAGATAAAAAAATATGCTAAAAAATTCATTTTCACCCCCAAGGAAATGATTCCCCAAAATCAGTTGTACCTCAAAGAAATAGTCTATTATAGAGACAATTTATAGGCTAGGTGGCATGGTGTGAGAAAGCTTCTGAAAGGCCGGCAGATAATAAATATGCTAAAAAATTCATTTTCACCCCCAAGGAAATGATTCCCCAAAATTAGTTGTACCTCAAAAAAATACTCTATTATAGAGACTATTTATAGGCTAGGTGGCATGGTGTGAGAAAGCTTCTGAAAGGCTGGCAGATAAAAAAATATGTTAAAAAATTCATTTTCACCCCCAAGGAAATGATTCCCCAAAATCAGTTGTACCTCAAAGAAATACTCTATTATAGAGACAATTTATAGGCTAGGTGGCATGGTGTGAGAAAGCTTCTGAAAGGCTGGCAGATAAAAAAATATGCTAAAAAATTCATTTTCACCCCCAAGGAAATGATTCCCCAAAATCAGTTGTACCTCAAAAAAATACTCTATTACAGAGACTACTTATAGGGTAGGTGACATGGTGTGAGAAAGCTTCCGAAAGGCTGGCAGATAAAAAAATATGCTAAAAAATTCATTTTCACCCCCAAGGAAATGATTCCCCAAAATCAGTTGTACCTCAAAAAAATACTCTATTATAGAGACTATTTATAGGCTAGGTGGCATGGTGTGAGAAAGCTTCTGAAAGGCTGGCAGATAAAAAAATATGCTAAAAAATTAATTTTCACCCCCAAGGAAATGATTCCCCAAAATCAGTTGTACCTCAAAAGAATACCCTATTATAGAGACAATTTATAGGCTAGGTGACATGGTGTGAGAAAGCTTCTGAAAGGCTGGCAGATAAAAAAAAAAGGTAAAAAATTCATTTTCACCCCCAAGGAAATGATTCCCCAAAATTAGTTGTACCTCAAAAAAATACTCTATTATAGAGACTATTTATAGGCTAGGTGGCATGGTGTGAGAAAGCTTCTGAAAGGCTGGCAGATAAAAAAATATGCTAAATAATTCATTTTCACCCCCAAGGAAATGATTCCCCAAAATTAGTTGTACCTCAAAAAAATACTCTATTTTAGAGACTATTTATAGGCTAGGTGGCATGGTGTGAGAAAGCTTCTGAAAGGCTGGCAGATAAAAAAATATGCTAAAAAATTCATTTTCACCCCCAAGGAAATGATTCCCCAAAATCAGTTGTACCTCAAAGAAATACTCTATTATAGAGACAATTTATAGGCTAGGTGGCATGGTGTGAGAAAGCTTCTGAAAGGCTTGCAGATAAAAAAATATGCTAAAAAATTCATTTTCACCCCCAAGGAAATGATTCCCCAAAATCAGTTGTACCTCAAAAAAATACTCTATTATAGAGACTATTTATAGGCTAGGTGGCATGGTGTGAGAAAGCTTCTGAAAGGCTGGCAGATAAAAAAATATGCTAAAAAATTAATTTTCACCCCCAAGGAAATGATTCCCCAAAATCAGTTGTACCTCAAAAGAATACCCTATCATAGAGACAATTTATAGGCTAGGTGACATGGTGTGAGAAAGCTTCTGAAAGGCTGGCAGATAAAAAAATATGCTAAAAAATTAATTTTCACCCCCAAGGAAATGATTCCCCAAAATCAGTTGTACCTCAAAAGAATACCCTATTATAGAGACAATTTATAGGCTAGGTGACATGGTGTGAGAAAGCTTCTGAAAGGCTGGCAGATAAAAAAATATGCAAAAAAATTCATTTTCACCCCCAAGGAAATGATTCCCCAAAATCAGTTGTACCTCAAAAAAATACTCTATTACAGAGACTACTTATAGGCTAGGTGACATGGTGTGAGAAAGCTTCTGAAAGGCTGGCAGATAAAAAAATATGCTGAAAAATTAATTTTCACCCCCAAGGAAATGATTCCCCAAAATCAGTTGTACCTCAAAAGAATACCCTATTATAGAGACAATTTATAGGCTAGGTGACATGGTGTGAGAAAGCTACTGAAAGGCTGGCAGATAAAAAAATATGCAAAAAAATTCATTTTCACCCCCAAGGAAATGATTCCCCAAAATCAGTTGTACCTCAAAAAAATACTCTATTACCGAGACTACTTATAGGCTAGGTGACATGGTGTGAGAAAGCTTCTGAAAGGCTGGCAGATAAAAAAATATGCTAAAACATTCATTTTCACCCCCAAGGAAATGATTCCCCAAAATCAGTTGTACCTCAAAAAAATACCCTATTATAGAGACACTTTATAGGCTAGGTGGCATGGTGTGAGAAAGCTTCTGAAACGCTGGCAGATAAAAAAATATGCTAAAAAATTCATTTTCACCCCCAAGGAAATGATTCCCCAAAATCAGTTGTACCTCAAAGAAATACTCTATTATAGAGACAATTTATAGGCTAGGTGGCATGGTGTGAGAAAGCTTCTGAAAGGCTGGCAGATAAAAAAATATGCTAAAAAATTCATTTTCACCGCCAAGGAAATGATTCCCCAAAATCAGTTGTACCTCAAAAAAATACCCTATTATAGAGACAATTTATAGGCTAGGTGGCATGGTGTGAGAAAGCTTCTGAAATGCTGGCAGATAAAAAAATATGCTAAAAAATTCATTTTCACCCCCAAGGAAATGAATCCCCAAAATCAGTTGTACCTCAAAGAAATACTCTATTATAGAGACAATTTATAGGCTAGGTGACATGGTGTGAGAAAGCTTCTGAAAAGCTAGCAGATAAAAAAATATGCAAAAAAATTCATTTTCACCCCCAAGGAAATGATTCCCCAAAATCAGTTGTGCCTCAAAAAAATACTCTATTACAGAGACTACTTATAGGCTGGATGACATGGTGTGAGAAAGCTTCTGAAAGGCTTGCAGTTAAAAAAATATGCTAAAAAATTAATTTTCACCCCCAAGGAAATGAATCCCCAAAATCAGTTGTACCTTAAAGAAATACTCTATTATAGAGACAATTTATAGGCTAGGTGACATGGTGTGAGAAAGCTTCTGAAAGGCTGGCAGATAAAAAAATATGCTAAAAAATTCATTTTCACCCCCAAGGAAATGATTCCCCAAAATCAGTTGTATCTCAAAAGAATACCCTATTATAGAGACAATTTATAGGCTAGGTGACATGGTGTGAGAAAGCTTCTGAAAGGCTGGCAGATAAAAAAATATGCAAAAAAATTCATTTTCACCCCCAAGGAAATGATTCCCCAAAATCAGTTGTACCTCAAAAAAATACTCTATTACAGAGACTACTTATAGGCTGGATGACATGGTGTGAGAAAGCTTCTGAAAGGCTGGCAGATAAAAAAATATGCTAAAAAATTAATTTTCACCCCCAAGGAAATGATTCCCCAAAGTCAGTTGTACCTCAAAAAAATACTCTATTATAGAGACTATTTATAGGCTAGGTGGCATGGTGTGAGAAAGCTTCTGAAAGGCTGGCAGATAAAAAAATATGCTAAAAAATTAATTTTCACCCCCAAGGAAATGATTCCCCAAAATCAGTTGTATCTCAAAAAAATACCCTATTATAGAGACAATTTATAGGCTAGGTGACATGTTGTGAGAAAGCTTCTGAAAGGCTGGCAGATAAAAAAATATGCTAAAAAATACATTTTCACCCCCAAGGAAATGATTCCCCAAAATCAATTGTACCTCAAAAAAATACTCTATTATAGAGACTATTTATAGGCTATGTGGCATGGTGTGAGAAAGCTTCTGAAAGGCTGGCAGATAAAAAATATACTAAAAAAATTCATTTTCACCCCCAAGGAAATGATTCCCCAAAATCAGTTGTACCTCAAAAAAATACTCTATTATAGAGACAATTTATAGGCTAGGTGGCATGGTGTGAGAAAGCTTCTGAAAGGCTGGCAGATAAAAAAATATGCAAAAAAATTCATTTTCACCCCCAAGGAAATGATTCCCCAAAATCAGTTGTACCTCAAAAGAATACCCTATTATAGAGACAATTTATAGGCTAGGTGACATGGTGTGAGAAAGCTTCTGAAAGGCTGGCAGATAAAAAAATATGCAAAAAAATTCATTTTCACCCCCAAGGAAATGATTCCCCAAAATCAGTTGTACCTCAAAAAAATACTCTATTACAGAGACTACTTATAGGCTGGATGACATGGTGTGAGAAAGCTTCTAAAAG